ATATATATATATATATATATATATATATATATATATATAGCACCTAAATTGGCTGGTAGATCATAGTGAATATGTTTGCTTTTTTTCTAATTTCTAAACATTACTATCAAAATCTATAATTATTTCATGGTTCAAAGCATTTACATTTATTTACAATAATGACAAATTTTCAAAGGACAATTATTTTGTCATACTGACACAACCATCAATTTTGCTCAAAATGCACAATATGCACATGATCCGGTGAAACAGCAATGGCACTTTGAGTATGGCGTACATTAAAATTGGCCTATATCGCTAATCAACATGATACACAGAACGAGTAAGTGGTGCTCAGACACACAGCGAAGCAGCCAGGATCAGAGAGACACGACTGGACTAGGACACACAGAGCAGCTAAAGGGACAGGCTCCAGATCGGCTCCAAACAAAACAAACTACAGGAGGAAGCTGCTGGATTCGCCCTTACTTGAGGCGAGCCCCCCGGAGAGAAGCCTTGATTGGAGACCGGAGAGGTTGGAGACTGATTGGCCGAAGACCCCACCCTACAGCGGTACTGCTGGAGGGAAGCAGCCTATATGGGACAACACCAAGTTAGACCAGCAGAGCCCCTATAGGGGACCTCTGACTCAGGGTAAAAGGCCTGTGGCTCTCAAGTAACAATTCACAATGTCTCTGCTTACTCTGTCATGTAAACTCTGCAGCCAGGACATTTTTACTAGGACATCAGCTAAATGAGTTTGTTATTATACTGATTCTTTATAAATGGAAATATATATATTTTTCCGTCTTTTCTTGGTAAGTATGAATTCCAGATTTCTTCATTCTGTCAAGACTGAGGAGGTGTTAAAAACAGAACAAGCTGAGAATTTGACTGAGAAAGAAAGAACACTGCTTGTTAAAATTCATTACTTACACTACCAGTCCAATGTCTGGACATGTTTGAATTGTGTTTTTTATGATTTTAAAATCCGTTTGATCTAAAGACCTATCCATACATGCTTGAAATTAAATTTATAGATAATTTAAAGTTTGTCTACATACACTAGCATTTAAAGGTTTGGGTTAAGTAAAAATGGCACGTTTCTAAATAGAAGTCTCTTTTGCTCACCAAGGCTGCATTTATTTGATCAAAATACAATAAAAATTTTAATATTGTGAAATAATATTACCATTTATATTTTATACAAATATATATATATATTTTTTATATATTAAATAATATTACAATTAAATAATTAATAAATAAATTCTATTTCAGTATATTTTAAAATGCCATTTATTCCTGTAATGGCAAATTTTGATCAGTTTATAAATTCATTTCTTATTACTGACCCCAAACTTCAGAATGAAGATGGACCAGAAAGTATTAAGGTCAAATCTCGCAACTGTGACTTTCTTATCACACATTTCTTAATTTACCCATTATTAAAAATAAAACAAGTCATTGTGAGAAAAAACAAAAACATTGTGAGATTGCCATTTAATTTAAAACTTTAGCTATCTCACAATTACCTGTTTCATTTTTAACAATGTTGTGATAAATAATGTCACAATTCTTTTTTTATTACTTCACTCTGAGTACATGGCAAACATCTAAACTCCAAAACTGTTTAAGTTATAAGATAAACAGAGGGTGCAGAGGGAAAGGGAGGTGACTTAAAAAAAAAGCTACAATGTAGAAAAAATATTTTTTTTACCCCACTACATACTCATTATTGCTATTTTCTACATTTGTGTATGAGTAGTTATGTCCAAACATTTGACTGGTAAAGTATTTATCATTTTCAATATAATTAAACCTTTTAGTGCCCTGTATGATCTGATTGACAGACCATACACACCCAAGATTTAAAAATCCACTGTGGACCTATGGAGGTATTAAGCATTAAAATGTGATCTTACCGTGTTAATATCAATGCCCACAGAGGTTTGTGTCTGGCTGCATGAGACAGGTGGCAGCTGGGTGTTCTGCTGGAGCTGAGGAAGCCCACCGACCCCCTGTGTCTGTGTGGACGGCTGACTGAAGAAAGCATACTGAGCCAACTGTTGCTCCAGCGACATGGCGTCTATCGTCACCGCCTATTCAACACAGATCCAGATTGAGATGCTCTATTAGCATCTGAGTGATCAGATTAACATTTAATGTTCCTTCTGTAACACCAGCTCAAATCAGTCCTCGTCAGCAGCTGGAGGAATGAGAGCAATGTTACCTGTGCTATAGAGAGCGGAGGAGAGAGGGTGGGCGACAGCTGCTGAAAACTCGGGTGCTGCTGGGAGTCTGTGTTGAGGATCAGAGGAACTACATTCTCATGCCGGCGCTGAATGCTCACTGTCACTGTGGGCTGGGCTGAGAGTAATGGGTGGAATAAAGTAGCAGATTGACTGAACTGCATCAACAAGCTCTTGTTTTACCTGATAGACTTCAATCCTTTAGACATACAGTATCTCATATTAATGGCTGTGTGTTGAGTTATTTTGAGGGGACAGCAAATTTACACTGTTATACAAGCTGTACACTCACTACTTTACATTGTAACAAAGTGTCATTTCTTCAGTGTTGTCACATGAAAAGATATAATAAAATATTTACAAAAATGTGAGGGGTGTACTCACTTCTGTGAGATACTGTATATGATAATGTTGATATTTACACTCATACACAATTTAAGAGAGAACTTTGTTATTAAATGATTTTGTTAGCAGCTCTTCAACACAAACCTTACAACCTACTAACAACTACAATTTAGTACAGAGTTAGTTACAAACCAGCTAGTAGATACTAAGCCTCTAGTGTGGATTTTACATTCCAATTTATGTAATAGCTGGGGCAACCCTACCCAGCTGCTGAATAAATAGCATCCTAATTTCAACGAGTGTGATTTGATGATATCAAATCTGATGAACTATTAGATGCTCGCAGACAGATTTATTAGATGGTTTTAACCAGAGGGAGAAAAAAGTGGCTTCTAATACATATATAATAAAATATTTGGGCTTATCTTGCCCACAAATGTCCAAAGTTCATAATCAGAGTGTTATGACAGTAACAGCACAGTACATCTTTACACACATATCCTAAAACAGTGGATCTCAAACAGAGGGCTGGGGCCCACTAGGTTGCCTCGGCAAATTTAAAAGGGGGCCTCAAGATAACGTAAATTGATTTTGAAATTGTTATTCGTTTTTATCTTGTCATGGCTTTATTATTTTAATTTGTTGTTTTATGGGTTGCCTCTCTCTTCCATTTCCCATCTTCAAATGGTCCAAAATGTGGCTGCTCGTTTGCTGATGGGCAGTAAACGGGATCATATTACGCTCTCTGTGTTGGCTACCAGCTCAATACCACGTCGATTTTTTTAAATTTGCTATTTGTTTATAAAGCCCTTAAAATTTAGCCCCTAAATACCTCTCAAATGTAATCCTTATTCATAATCCCACTAGATTGCTTACACCATTACCTGTTAGAGCCGCTCCCACGGTGTCTGAGTTCAAACCAATGCTAAAAACTCATCTTTTTCTTGTGCTTTTAACTGATTTTTAACTGTTCGTGTATTAGGTACAACACTTTGGTCCATCGAGGTTGTTCTAAATGTGTTATAGAAATAAATATGACCTTGAAAGTAGAAAAGTCATGTAAATTCCTTGGTAGAAAAGAGTGGGATCCCCGAAGAGCATACAGCTCTTAAAATTCCTGTAATTCTTAAACTTATAAATGATCATTTTAATTATGATTATTTTAGTTAGTTATATCTATGGACACTCTTTTTAAAACTTGTCATTGCAGCAGATGTAACAGTGGAAACCTGTTAACCTACATGGAGGGCCTTGGAGTCAAAAAGATTGAGAACCACTGTCCTAATGCATATGCTTGTGAGAATCACCTTGGCTGGCAGAAGTGAGGCCCATGTGAGTGTTGGCCAGGTTGCCAGTGCTGTTGGAGGTACTGAGAGAGGAAGAAGAGTCGTCAGGGTCCAGAGGTGTGGGGAGAGGAGGGGGAATCTGGATGTTGGTCAGGTCTGGCAGAGAGCCGCCCGTGTTGTGTGCCACTGGGATTAGAGATGTAGTCATTTCCTGATCTGGAGACGGAAATATGCTGGGGAAATGACATGAGGGACGTTAGAAGGAGCCGGGATAAATAGATATGTAAACAGAAAAAGCCCACTGTGCTGATTATGATGTGATAAATCAAGGCTGTCACAAAGGAGCAGATATGACTAGATGGCTGTTAAGTTGGGATAATAGTTTTCTCGAATGACCTTGACTCTTCAATCTCCAAATGATAACTGCTGCATGGTCCTTCCATTCACCTACCCTCTACTTTACACTATCTGCGTCAATAAGAAAATCCAATGAAACCACACTTACTTGATTCCAGGTATTTTGTTTGACTTGGGCCTTGTTGAAGTAGTCTATGAAACAAAAAGAGAAATACTTTGTTGATAAAGGATCCCATGAAATTCATATCAAAGAAATCTATTTCTAAATGTACCTTTTTGTGATCCCATATCTGCTTTTGACCTTCTTTGTCCATGTCCCTCTCAGATTCCCCTGTTCCTGGCATAGTGAGAAGAAGAACTAGTAGATAGAGAGGGATGAAATCATACACTGAAACAAGTGTAGGAAAAATTTGACAGGATATAGTTCACTGCAACATTTAACCTAGGATTAGTTTATTGATGAGAGCATTTAATAAATCATAAAGCAATAAAATAAAAATTAAATAAACATTGTATCAACCTTGTTTTGGCTGCAAATCTTGAGATCCTCCTGCAAATGCATCTTGTGGGTTTGGGTTAAAAGTGCTCTGGTGCAGGGCAGAGTCTGAGTTGGTCCTACAGAACAAGCACAAAGAAATTAAAGAATTATATAACAGCATAAAGCATGCCTGATCACATTAGGTAATAGTCTCCCCTCACTAAAATTACAAGTTTATATTGTACCACAAAAGCAGGGTAGAGTGGTAAAAGGATATAAAGAAACGATATATAATTACTGACATTAAATAAGCAAACTACAACTTAGCAAGACATCTTAGAAAATGTTACCATCAAATCTTTAACTGTAAAAAACATCTTGCATCTTGTGTATGCTCTTTCATTTTAAGAAGATGATTTACATGTTTTATTGCCATAGCATCAAATGCAAAAATAAATGATAAATAATACACAATATATAATTAAACATCTTACAAGTTTCAACATTACAATGACAACTTTCAGTTTAACATTTGATATAGCTATGAAGAATATTTATTGACATGCAATTTCAACAGCTACTACTCCTGCACATATGTACAGACTTCAGCACATGCAAGCAGACTGTGAGTATAAACTCTCACCTCCTCCAGCTGGTATCAGGTGGGGGTGACAGATACACAGAGGCATACGGACAGCTATCAATGTGAGATTCAACATTAAGGACTTCATAATGTCAGAATAAGTCAATCGCAGACATTTGAACAAATATGTTTTCGTTTGCCACGCAGACCAAAACGGTGCAATAATTCTGTCTGCCTTCATTAGTAGACACATTAAGGATATTTGACGGCCATGTTTGTCCACAGAGAGAGGTCTGCGGTGTGGCGACGTGATGCGATTCCTGTCCCGGTAGACCCTGTCCACCAGCCCATGGTGACGAGTTGTTCTACTTGTGTCCAATCCTGAATTCTGAAAAGGAGTCTGATAAAAAAAACAACAAACTTGAAGATGTCAGTACAAAACTTACATTCCACATATCTATTAGGGCTGCACGATAAATCACATGCGATATTTAATGCATATATGAACGTGGTTTTGCGCAGCTTGTCAGTGAACAACGGCTCTGTGTAGTAAATGCTGCTCCATATGAAAGCACGCACGTGATGGAGATTTACCGCTGATTACAGAACCGGCTTTACTGACAAGATGCGCATTAAATATCGCATGCGATTTATTGTGCAGCCCTAATATCTATTCTTACTTAATTTCACCTGTCAAAGTGCTCCTCACCTGAAAGGGAAGGTCAATAGTGGTGTTTCCAATCTGATTGACATTTGGCAAAGAGCCGCCATAGTACTGTCCTCGGTTCTGACCAAGCTGTAAATACTGAGTCTTCTGTAACTGTAACTGCATGAAAAACAACAATCAATAAAATTGTGAGACATTATATACGTAAAATTACCCAAAAGGGCTTCTGTGATTCCAGCTATAACATCCCTCTGTTTTGTTATCATTATAGCTGTTATTTGGACTTCACTTTTCTCAAATAATTAGAACTATTATTAAAACGTTATTGTTATCGTCCTTGGTATGAATGGGAAGGTACAGGTGTAAACTTCAAAATCTTCAAATAAAAGTCCTAAACAAGCAGCCCAGTTTATTTTAGCTACTTTTTATTCTCTCTCTCTCTCTCTAGTTACATCTGATGTCAATACAAATTTTAGAAAATAACCAAAAATCTAAGTAGTTAGAATTTGGATTGCCTTATTTATTAGAGCTGCATCAGTAAACCATACTAGGCAGGCATATGTTACCATAAATATGCCACAGATTTTATATAATGGAAGAAATGGATGATTCAAACACCGGGAAAAGTGACAAATGATCACAGAGTTACAACTAAGAAATGCAACTCACTGAAAAAAGCAAGTACTTTACATTTATTAATTTAGCAAACACTTTTGTCCAATGGGATTTAAAAATGAGGAGTACAGCCTAATGATTGATACTAAGCAGGCAGTAACATGAGAAGTGCAATAAAAAGTTTCAAAATGGTAAAAGATCAGACTGAAAAAAAAAAAAAACAGAATTTTTATTTTATTTTATTTATTGTGAGCTCTGAAATGTAGTATTTAGTCTGAATCTTGATTGGGATGTTAGTAGAGCACTGCAGGCAATGCCCGTATAATCACAACCCTGTCATCATAGTTTGCTGAAGTCCTTATTTTGGGTATAAATGCACTGGGCAACAATGCTGAACTGAGTAAATACAATGTTGTGAATGGCTTAATTATTCATTGAGTGCTTGTAAACATCGATACAAACATTCAGGTTTAACCCTCCAAGAACGAATGACACCTGAAATTAATGTTTAGATGCTAAAATGTGTCCAGCACTGGATACGGCCTTGATTGCAGTCCAGCTATAATGTCGACAGACTGTAATGTGGCTGTCAAATACACATGCTCAATCCATTCACACTCATACACTGCAGCTGTGAGCACGGCAACTTTTATAAGGCCTCGTCGTGACCGTCTGTTTATTATCAAATATCTCAATGGCGTCCATTGGAAGGCAATCTATTAATCAGCACTAAAGATAAACGCGCACTGGAGAGGGGCGTTTGTTATTGTTTACGTCCAGACAGGCGGGTTCAGTGCGTGTCGTATAAACACAAATTCAGCCCCGCACCTCGGGCTGCTAATGAATGCTGTCATAAGCGAGAAAACAGACACACTTACACGGGCCGCCCGAGTAATACTCAGGTCTTTCATCACCTCCTCGAACGCAGCTGTCTCTTCCGCTTGCTTCTGATTGTGTAACGCGATCTTTTCGCTGAATTTGCGCGGATTATTCGAGGTCGCCATGTTTAGCTCCTCTTGGGCTCCGCTCTGGTTCGTTCTCGATGAGACGCTCGCTGCTGCGTGCGCGCGTCCGTGCGCGTGGGCGTAGTGAACGCGCACATCTGGAGCGCGCGAGTCCCTGTTGTACGGAGATTCGAGGATTATGTGAACGGATGAAGATTGTGGGAGTAAGACATTTAACAATTTGATTCAGAATGGTTCTTTGTGTTAGAAAACTACTTTTTATCACTTTTTCCTTTTAACATTGTGAATGGCTTGCATACATACACCATTCACAATGGTTCTGGCATTCATAAATATGATTGTGCTCCCTTACAGAAATGGAAGAGACACATTGTAACACTAAATTCCCAGTTGTTTTTCTACCAAGATACTGTCACATCCCACAACCTCATCATCTGCCAGGAGAAACTGCCATGCAGTTACACCAAAATATACACAAAATGATTAACTTAAAGGCATCATAGAGGACTTTGAAGCTATTTCACTGGAACTTGGTCTTCTATATTGTGTTTCTATTTTGTGTTTTATTTCTTGATATATTTATTCATGTTCAAAGTCAGTTATTATCATTTATTAAGGCATCCAGTTAATAACTTGCAAGAGCACTGTCATTTTTGCTATTTCCCATGTCAGTAAAAATAAAAGTACCTAATTGAGAGGGCTTGCTGGCATTTTTAAAAATGTAAAACCCAAATAGATGCTACAACCCTAATTGACACAACAAGATATAAGACCTGCAGGTAGAAGGGTTAAAATAATATTAATAAATAATAATGAAAATAAATATAGCACTTTCAAAGCATGGTTCTCTATGGAAGCCGAAGGACCCACAGAAGTGTAATGAAGAAAATATTGTGAACTTTCTGTCTGCTCAGATTAGTTAGATGTTGGGTCCACGCAGACATGTCATGATGCATATCAATTTAATATCCATGCTTGTTCAAAGTATTGGTTATTATTGCTTTGTTTTGTGGCCTAATGGTTAGAGAGTTGGACTTGTAACCCAAAGGTCACGGGTTCGAGTCTCTGTACTGACAGGGATTGTAGGTGGGGGGAGTGAATGTACAGCAGTCTCTTCCACCTTCAATACCACGACTGAGGTGAGACCCTTGAGCAAGGCACCGAACCCAAAACTGCTCCCTGGGCACAGCAGCAAAAAATGGCTGCCCACTGCTCCCGGTGTGTGCTCACTGTGTGTGTGTGTGTGTGTGTGTGTGTGTGTTCACTACTCACTTCTGTGTGTGTGCACTTGGATGGGTAAATGCAGAGCACAAATTCCAAGTATGGGACATCATACTTGGCCACACGTCACGTCCTTTCCTTTTTTTCCTTTCCCTGTTTTTTTTTATTTTTATTTTTTTTTTATGTAGCTTCTTGTAGTCAATTCGATTTATATTAAATTAAACTCTTTTAACTCTTTTGTAAAGTACAGTTAAACAGAACCACAGTAAACATGTTGCAAGTGAGAGGAAGTGTTTTACAGCAGATGGGGAATTTTTAATAGAGAAACAGAAGTTCTGTATAGTTGAGATAACACCTCACCGAGATATCCCCGAGATGTGGTGCAATATGTGCAGTGCATGTCAGTGTCATGTAGCATTATTTGCAGTAGCCAGCCATCATTTTACTTCAATATGCAGTATTTCACTTCAGAAAGTCTATGATTCACAATTGTTGATTCAATATTTTTATAAGGGATCTTTATAATGCATCACAGTCCTGAAAATGAAAAATAGATACAAAGAAGTGAAGTGAAATCGTTGCAACCTGAAAGTGGAGATTTTGTTTTCTCAGACTAACTAATACATTTAAGAACCCATTTCGCTTCTGTTTATCTGTCTAGAGCAAAGCTAACACTGGAAAATCCAGTTTTCTAAGTTTTGTCTACTAGTTTAGGCAAAGTAGTCAAACAGAGCTGTCTGTTTTGTTTGACCTACTAACAACATCTTTTAAAAGCAATTTTTCATTATTTTCCCCAGATCATGGATGTAAATTGGATTTGAGTTAGGGGTTTTCCAGCTCATAATGCTAGTCAGCATTACCAAGATTGAGAATGGGCCTCAAAGTCACAAGTGACTAAACAGTATTTTTATCAAGAATAATGTATTTATTTCCAAACATAATGACCCTGTTTCACCCTCACCGTTTGCCCACATATGCTAGTTTTAGGGCAAATGCACTATTTTTAACACCAGGGGGTGATATAAGCACAAGTGATAAGGACAGTGACCACAACTTGCTATTTATTCTAACATTGTTTTGCCCTTTTTTTGAAACCATAATGTACACAATGTATATTAGTCCAAGCAAAAACCTGTGAGCAAAACAAGCCTTAATGTGCTTACTGGTCTTGCAATGTTAGCATAACTAAGTTCCTCCTTTTCATAGAGGATGTTCAAATGTCTGTTAGCATTACCCACAACATCTGAGTTACCTTCTCTTTTTTCGTCTTTCTTTTTTCTACTTTTGAACTTCAGTTTGAAGTCTTGGTTTGGTTAACCTGCTGTCATTTAACTTCATTTAAATTTAATCTAACTTGTCACATTTAGTGGTTTTCTGGCAGTGATATACTTATAGGTCAGTGTAGCATTGTTACCAATAGCTTTCATATATTTGTTTTTAACATGATTAAAACTCTTGATTTTTGAAGACTTTGTGATCAACGGTTAGAACAATTGGCATATTTTATAAACTGCTGGTAAAGTTTGAGAGGTTATGCTCAGCTATTGTTTGCACATCAATTATAGCTCCTATTAACATGAACCCACAAATCTCCTTTTCAGAGCAGATGTATAACTGTTTACAGGAAGACAACAGGAAGAATGATTGTGTGGGGGTGTGAATTTCCAGGTTGCATGACTACTGCATTGAAAGCGGAACTTTCAGGCTCTTTCTGCAAAAAGAAATGCCAAACGGCAGCTTGACCATTTCTGCCAGCAACAGTGATACAGACATAGGTGATATAGTTTCACCTACACAATACGGTAAGGTTATTTCTATTGTGAACGATTCATTGGGGTTACATTAGTACAAATAATAGCTTCAATGTTAATTTGATGAATTTCAGTGTGGCCTACATAACAGTACTAAAAATATCACTTTCTCTTGCGAAATACATAGATGCGAAAGTTTTCTTTGAGTGTTTGCATTTCGTTATAGATATAATAACATTATTTTTCTATCCCTTTTAGACCATGGATGGAAATAGAACTTGTTTCCCATCAAGTAATTCTACAGAGGGTTGCGTCCCTGGCAGCAGCCCGTCACTTGGACTTGCTGTTGGTTTGCCTATATTCTTTGTGGCTTTGTTGCTGGTGGGGATAGCAGTGTTTTTCTGGTTTCGACACAGAAAATCGGTTGATATTGAGTTATCTAACAAACTTAAGAGCCAAGATAAGAGCCAAGATGATCATTCCAGGGAGTCTCCGTACAGTGGATACACCGGAGGACTTCAACCCGCACCACAGAGCCCAGTCTATGAGAACTTTCATGGACAGTCCAATCTGCGTGAATTTCAGAGTTGTTCTGTACAGAGCAAGGACACACACAGGTAAAGTACAATAAGTCTTTAAAGCAGAAATGGAATTTACTGCTAAGTTTTATTTGCTGTCTGTTTTGCAAGATCACAGTGACATCACGAATGTGTGGCAATAATGGTATAACAGTCAGAGAGTCACATTAAAGGAGTTTTTATTTTGCAGCGATATTTATTGGGTTATATATTTGGTGCAAATTTTGCAATTCAACTTAGAACTGAAAGAACTGGAATTTCACTTTTGCCCCCATTTAGAGACCATCAAGCATACCTGCAGTGTGATCCACATGATGCAATCTACAGCAATGATCCTGCCCTCTTCCATCCAGATCAGGCTGAAATCTCTGAGGATGTTTACATCATGCCAGATGCTTGAAAGTCTGAAATGGTTTGCTGTCCAGTATTAATCCACAAAATGTTCAGAATCATTTGTACTGGCATGATATGAAATAATAGTAAGTCTTTATTTTCAAAGGGTAAAATCAAGGGCAAAACATTCTGGCCAAGAAATAGTTTTGACTTGAGGGATTCAAATGCCCTTACAAGCAGTACACAAGCCAATGTAATTTATTGACTGAACACACTGTGAGACAGCAAAACATAATCATGACCTCATTTATCACAGTTTAACAGGTGTTCTTGCCGACTGCAAATAATACCCACTGAAACGACCAGCGTGAATGTTCCATGCTGTACAGACTGGTTTATACTGGTTTGGTGGACCAACATGCTAAATTCTAGTTGAGATGTTGGTCAATATGCTGGACAGGGATAGGGGGACTTTCAGACGTTTTATGTTAAAAATGTTTCCTGAATTAATTAAGTTGTTATCTTTTTGTACATTATTGTTCAAAAGTTTGTGGTCAGTAAGATTTTATTTGAAGAAGTAAATACTTTCATTTAGCAAGGGCACACTAAATTGATCAAAAGGGACAGTAAGGACATTTCTAATGTTACTCAAAATGTCTATTTCAAATAAATGCTGTTCTTTTGAACTTTCTATTCATCAAAGAATCCTGAAAAAGTGTATCATATTTTCCACAAAAGTATTAAGCAGCACAACTCTTCGAGATAGATAATAATAAGAAACGTTGAGCAGCAAATCAGCATATTAAAATGACTTCTGAAGGATCATGTGACACTGTAGACTGATGTAATTTGTGATCACATGAATAAAGGATATTTCACAATATTTATGTTTTTTATTGCATTCTTGATTAAATAAATGCAGCCTTGTTGAGCATAAGAGACTTCTCTAAAAAAACATTTAAAAAATCTTTCCAACCCCAAATTTTTGAACAGTTATGTGCAGTTTATGTCACATGCCTCATATTTCATAAGGATTATGCTTATGTTTTCACATGCAAAACTTATTTTGCAAGCTTTCAATTCATTAAGGGATGGTAATAATTATCCATCATGACTGTGTCTTACAATGGTTTTGTCACTGTGACTCACTGAAATCTTCACTGAAAGATCTCCTCTCAGCGATTAGCTGCAAATTAGCTGAGAGTGTCTTTTCC